AACTCTTGTGCTACTCCTTTACCAACGAATAGTGGGAATGGTCGTCACATTATTATGCTGAAAGGGCGAGCATGTTTGGTGGAATTTAGCAGTGATAGACTAGAGGGAAGGCAGCTAGTTAACACCACCCACCGCCAACTCTTGTGCTACTCCTTTACCAACGAATAGTGGGAATGGTCGTCACATTATTATGCTGAAAGGGCGAGCATGTTTGGTGGAATTTAGCAGTGATAGACTAGAGGGAAGGCAGCTAGTTAACACCACCTACCACCAACTCTTGGATTACTCTTTTGCCAACGAATAATGGGATTGGCCTTCACACTATAACGACCCCCACGGTTTTTAGGGCGAGAGTGTTCGGTGATGAGGATTCGAACCCGCGGCCCACAGATTGCCAGTCGAACATTCAAGCCAACAGGTCATGGCTGGCCATAGGAAAATTATGAAATGAAATCTAAGAAAATTAGTGAATTGTGTATTTATATTTGTTCAGGATAAAATACACTCACAAGCTACTTATGTGCATAGAAAGTACAGAAGGTATAAAAACGCCCTTAGGTCTGTGTAAATCATAGGGTATGTCGTCTAAATTTTCGTACATGGAAATTGCTTTAATAGTTTGAATAACACGCTTTTCTAATAATGGAAACATTAAACATAAACACAATATACAACACTGGATGAAATCTTTCAAGAATGAAATATATCTTTAAAAAACATAAGAAAGGTTTTATAGTAAGTAATACTCTCCCCGAAGAATTATTAAAGAAATGATAGGGTTTATTGTTATTATTTAATGTTATGTATATCAGTTAAAAATTAGGAGCGGTAAGCGCAGATAGCCTTTGGGTAGGTTTGCGCACAATTCTAAGACAAGCAAAATTTGTTATAAAAATATCACTAAAACAATTGTTTGTCTCACAAGAGTAAAACGAAAATTAGCTCATAAATCTACAAATATCTTTTTTTTTGTTTGTTTACAAAACCAATTTAGAAACCTCCAAATGAAAAAAAAAATTTGGAAAAGTACTGGGCATTGAAGCAATATCTATAATTTGGTCATAAAAATATAAACCTGATAACGCTGTACGAAAATAATATTTTTATAGGAAACAAGACATGTGAAATTTTATTACAGCTATCTTTTGTGTATACAATACATTAAGTACGAATTACAAAGTGGTGATACTTTGTTGACCTCTCGGTGTTTTGTGTTATGTTTAAGCCTACAAAGTGCGCTAAAATGATTAATTAAGGTGTGACACAGCGAATCAGATTCGCGCATTTTCTGGAAACAAAGAACGACTTCTGATGGACCTGTGATTTGTTTTCATGATTTACGAGATACTCATATCAAAAGAGAATCTACTCAATCTAATAATATCCCGTCCACAGAAAAAGGAAGACAAGGTAATAGAGAAGCACGACTTGCTAGGCACACAATCGGAGGACAACCGGCTATTGGTGAGGGAAACGCACTCAGTGGATCGACAGAAGTAGAGGACAGCCACATTGAAAGCAGGCGGTAATGACAGATATTTATACAAAATCATTTTATTTATCGAGTCTTATAAAACAAAGAGAGATGAATGTTTTATTCAATATTCCAAATATTGTACGAGTGAAGATACATCACGAGTTTGAATAGCGAGTGACCTGCTGTATATTCTTGAAATTCCTTTATGAACATAGGATCACTATAAAAGATATTTCAAAATAACATAAATAAGATATACTCTACACCGTCATATGAAACCTAGTCTTTTTCTTGTCTTGTCTAGTCTTGTTCAGGGTTACTGACGAGGAAGGACATTTCCTGAAACCAGTATAACTCAGTTATAAGATTAGGTTTCAAGTATATTTTTTAGTATCTTAAACAGCTTGCCAGCTGGATAATTCCTAGAAATAAATTAGTATCGTCAGTGCTGCATATACCTAAAATCCCAATATAAATATATGATCACTGTGTGACTAAAAGATATCTCGAAACATCATACATATAACATATGGTATTTAATCCCGCAGTTCTTATCAAAAGGCGAAGCTTTGAACAATATACCTTCAACCACTGGTACTACCAAAATATCATAAGGCAAATGCTGCTATAAATAGTTTTGGATATTATACTCGTAATTCTTTTAAATTATTTATTTCAAATGGTGTAAATGAAGAGCGAAAACCGTGATGCTATTTCATTTATCTTTTACTTTGAGATTAACATAAACATTTGGATCCAGAAAACTAAAATTTTGATTCAGTGATCTCAATTATACTTTTTTTTCGGTTTTCAAATTCGATGACGAGGAACCAACTTTGAGACTAATAATTGCTGGAGACGGCTTGAATGGGTAATGAAGAGAAACTTGTCGAAACGTTGTACATTTGCTGTTATGTTAAAGTTATATTAAAGTTTTTCTTTTGTTTGCAATATTTTACCTTGTGATAAATGTACACGGAATTTTCTCTATGCTAAGTAATTCTTTTTTAATTGCGAGCTTTCAGCCCTCGTAATGGAGCTAACTCTCAAGTAGCTGAGCGTTAAGTCTAAAGGCTCATAGCGGGGGGGGGGGGACCGCACAGTTAATCTATTGTGTAGCTCTGTGCTTAACTACAAACAGTAGACAAACGTATCGGAGCCCTTATCGGGCAATGTATTTTGAATAATTAATGAAATGATACAGCTCCTTTTTAATGTTAATTAATTTTGGTCAGTAGACTTTTGCGGTAGCTTCTTTGAAAATGAACTTCTGTAACTTTCACACATTTTAAATTTAGAAGGCACTATTTTCGGTCAGAAACTTGTTCGTTTGTTACCCAAATGTTGCTCATGTAAGAGGGTTGAATGTTCGCAATTAAAAAGTATTTAGCGTAGAGAATGGTTCGTGTATATTTTAAATGTTAATTTATCTACTTTGCGAGTTTAAAAACAAAAACAAAATTTTAAATTTTCACTGGCTTAAAGCAGGTCGAAATTTTCGTATTTCGATATAGCATATTAGGCCAACAACTCTAAATCTAGATATAATGAATACCAGTGGTTACCATTAAAATGGTGTTAAACATAAAGATGCAACTTTTGCATGTTATGCTGATCATATTAATATTTAATCATGAACCAGGGTAATGGTTCATAATAGGGATTGCCCATGTGTTCTTCTTTATTATTTAATATTGTTCCGCTAGCCTACAGTAAAAATTGCCACGAGGATTGCAATAAACTCTAGGTAATATTACCAAAAGCTTATTTGGTTTGTTTGTTATGGATTTCGCGCAAAGCTACACAAGGGCTATGTAGAGAGAAGGCAGCTAGTCATCACCACCCACCGCCAACTCTTGGGCTACTCTTTTATAGCCATTGATCGTCATATTATAACGCCCCCACGGCTGAAAGGGCGAGCATGTTTGGTGTGACGGATTCGAACCCGCGACCCACAGATTGCGAGTCGAGCGCCCTAACCACCTGGCCTTCTTTTTTTCAAGAGAAAAGAATTTGAGAGATTTCAGCCTCCCCTCGTATGACAACCCATCCATCCCAGGCACCATTCTAGTAACCCTTCTCTGAACCCTTTCCGACAATTCAATGTATTTCCTAAGGTAAGGAGCCCAAGACTGAACACAATATTACAAATGTGGCCTAACCAGTGACATTTACAATGAAATTATGACCTATTCAGACTTGTATTTAATATTTCTGTAGATACAACCTAAAATCGACTATTACACCAAGATCTCTTTCTTTCATAACACTATTAAGGTTATTTTCATCCAAATTATACATATAACTCAAATTATGATAATCCACATGCATTATCTTGCATTTATTATAATTAAAATCCATCTCCCATTTATTTGCCCAACTCACTAAATGATCTAAATCATTTTGTAAATCACAGCTAGCAACTCCCTCTTCACAGCTAGCAACACCCAATACCTTAATATCATCTGCAAATTTAAGTAATTTATTGACTATCCCTTCATCTATGCCATTGATGTAAATAAAAAGAGCAAAGGTCCTAAGACTGACCCTGAGGTACCCCACATGTGACATTAATCCAATTTGACTGCACTCTATTTGTAACAACCCCCTGCTTTCTTCCATTCTTCTATTCTATTTGCTAACTTATCCCCCACACATATATAGGTAATTTTTATACAAGCCTTTTATGTGGCATCTTGTCAAATGCTTTCTTAAAATCCAGATACACCAAATCTACACTCTTACCCTCATCTACATAAGCAGTAACCTTTTCAAATAATGTTAAAATATTTGTAAGGCAAGATTTTCCCTTAGTGAAACCGTTTTGACTATCCAATAAAATTCTAAACTTTGTTAAATGACTTTGCAAAGTATCTTTTAACAGATTTTCCAAAACATTTTCCACAACTGATGTAAGACTACTGGGTCTATAATTACTGGGACTATTTTTATGACCTACCTTGAAAAGAGGAGTTACATTAGCTAACTTCCAATACTCTTGTACCTGCCCACTGTTCAAGGACTGACAAAAATAGTAGTAAGTGGCTCAAATATCCAATCTTTAACCTCCTTCAAAACCCTTGGGGAAGTATTACCTGGCCCAAGAATTACATTTTTTTTAATCAGATCAGAATTAATGGAGTCATCTTG